ATGAACAGTCCAGCCCTGTTGACTTTCAAATTTTAACCACTGCAGTTGGACCTGAGTGAGCCTCTGGTCACAGATCACTCTCCACATCCTTCTCACTGTGGTATCATCTTGGTTCCAGTGTCCAATCCCACTGGGATGCTTTTAGAAGGAGGTAAGCCCAGAGCCTCCAGGAATATGTTCTCTAACTCCCTTACACACCTTAAACTGTTAGAAATTGGAATTTGTTTCTTCCCTGGGCACAGAGGTTAAGCTGATGTAAAGACTGTCCAGGATTACTGAGTGGGGGTTAAATCTTTGTCAGCTTGAACTGGGGAGATGGCTCAGTGGAATAAGTGCTTCCCTGGCAAGCACAAGGGCATGAGTTCAATCTCCGGTTCCACCAAAAAAAAAAAAAAAAAAAAAAAAAGACTGCAGTATAAATCTTTGTCAGCTTGAAGACTGCTCATGGGCACGAGGACTTCTTAGAAGGATTTTGAGATACTACAGGGGAAATATACTGGGTCAGTGGAAAGGAGAGGAGGAAAGACATTGATCTTTTCTAGAAAGGGAGAGATATCACTGGTGGGAAAATGTCATGGTAGAGACTGGGTATTTTCAAGGTGAAAGCATCAGTTCTGTGTCCTTCCTTCAGGCACCTAGAAATTGTGGGTCCTACTGCTCTGAGGGGACTGACTGGAGTTTCATGGATCTGAGTGTTGTGGGATTTAAGAGAAAGGAGAGAACAAATGGGAAAAGGAAAATGCTTATTTTTAGATATACACTAGCTCAGCTAATGAAAATGAAATGGCTGAGCAAAGGACAAAAGACAGCTTTCAGCTTTTAGCGATTTGGCCAAGGGGTTTGGCCTTCAGCATGGAATTTTGGGGAAGGCAGAAGGAGAGAAACGGCAGTTTTTATCTTGGTGGCCCTGCTTGGACACAACAGGATGTTCTAGGAACAGGAGGCTATAAAATTTTACTCACAGGTACAGAAGTTACTGCTTCTTTAGGAAGGCAGTGGAGAGAATGAACTGACAGAAAACTGCTCAGTGGGCTTCTTCTAGGTACAACTGTACAGTGAAATATCCTCAGTGTGATCAAGGTGGGGCCTACTCAACTGCCACAGCCCAGAGCCCCCAAGTGCCTTCTCACTCAGAAAAGAGTTCTCCCTCAGTACAAGTTGCAGCTGTCTTTCTTTCCTGAGCTGCATGGGAACTTCAACCAACATAGGACTTGGACTTCCCTGAGTTGTTCTGAAATGTCATTATTTTCATCAGAACAGGTCTTCAGAGATTTTTAGTGTTGCCACTATCAGTGGAGGACCCTCAGGCCTTCACTGCACTGTAAACAGGAGAACTGCACATTTTGCATCTGGTGTTTCATGCACAGGAAGCACATGGAGTGGTTTTGGTTTTCCAGAGCAGGTTCTGTGATGCCTGGTATCCATGCTAAGAGATGATGGTGAGTAGCTCATGGTTAGAAAGATCCTTTACTATTATGCTAGTATTAAATTAGGACAGATGTGTTGTTATTTGGTGCAGATGTTGTGGACCTTGCTCTTCTCGATTATGGTCTGTATGAGGTTCTACTGACCAAGGATGTTCTCCAAGTAACTTTCCACAATAAATCTGACAACTAATGAGGGTGAACATCCCTTTAAAACTCCCAGGACAGCCCACATCCACCATTACCTGGCTCTTTCTGGTCCTCTGCAGAAACCCTTGTTTCTTCAAAGACAGTTTTTTTAAAATGTATTTTAGTACAGGATCTACAGGGTGTACAGGGTCTCACTAGGTAGATCAGACTTTTCGTGATTCTCTGTTTTCAGCCTGCCAAGTGTTGGGATTTCAGGCATATATCACAACACCCAGTCTCAAGGCCATCTCAGCAGGCCCCTGGGGTGGGGCTGTCATGGTACACAGGGGATGAAACCCTGGCTGCTGTGATCTGTCTAAGCATGTGCTTTAGTCTGCTGAGCTATCTTCCTGGCCCTGCAAGGACAGGTTTTGAGGGAACCTGATCCTTATCTTCCAAACCTGTCCAATGGGAACAGAGCCTCTAATGTCATGGCAGGGACCAGTGATTACTGGGGACAGGACTGATCAGGATCATTCCCTGCATTAGTGTGTACTGTGGCAGGTGTGTGGGGTTCCTTACAGGGTCATCTTCCAGGTTCCTCAGGAACTGGTGTGGGGAAAGATTTTATTCAGGGACTGGATTATATTACACTTGCAAGGCACAGAGGACTGGGGTTTAGAAAGAGCATGAGAAAAAGGAAGCATCTCTTGGAGGGGAGGAAAGCTGAGGGTCTGCTGTGGACAAGCAATGGTTGGGGAATCTTAGTGCAGTGGAAACAAGCTCCTTGCTGGAGGAATTCTGAATGGAGGGAGAGAACATGAGAATTCTCTCTGGGACATTTTGTAATTGCAAAACATCCCTGTGCACACAGTCTTGCTCTGGTGAGATCTGTCCCTTGATTCCCACAGGTTGGGGAAGAAGAGTGCCTCCCACCTGCCATCTCCTCCTCCATTCATTTCTTTCTTTTCTCCACAGCATCACCAATGATGCAGCCAGACATGACTATGAAGGCTGATGTCATTGTGGCTTCTTCTTGGGTCTTGCCTCCTCTACCCCCTGCCCCAGTCCCAGTGCCTCAGCTGTACTGGGAGCCACCACCACCACCCTTTGGGAATGCACCACTTCCTCAGGGTAATCCCCTGGTGCTTTCTCCTTTTCCAGGGATGCCTGCAGTGGCAGGCCACGGTGGCTATGGCCTAACTAGGGCTGGGTCTTTAAACATCACTGCCCAAGCCAGGCCAGCAGGGAGGCCAGCAGGGTCCCTCCTAACTCAGAGCATTGTCATCTCTCAGGCCTCATACATCAAGGGAACTCCAGGGATCCTGCATGGGGGTATGCAGCATCCTGCTCCCCAGATGCTGGGAACTCCATCCGTGACCACCTTCATGTCTGTCCCAACTGGTGTGAGCATTCATGCTGATAACAGGATGTGGCATAGGGGTCCTTGTCCCCCAGACATACCACCCATATCCTCCATGCTTTCTGGGGTGAGCAAAGTGCCACCACCCCACTGGGACTGTGGAGAAGGCAGCCTGGCCACTCTCCAGGCCAATACTTCATCAGATCGCACCTGCAAGTCTCCAAATGTCTATGAGAACTTCCAGCGCTGGCAGCATCTCAAGACCCTGCTCCAGAGACACCTTCCTCACATTCCTGATGTGGAAGCAGTGTCCTGCTTCCTCGTGTGAGTACCCTCCCCAGGTTCCTAGGGGCAGCTCATCTGGTAGCTCCAATGTGAGGAAGGAGGCATGACAGGAGTTTGGGATGTACAGGAACTTGCAGAATGAGCTGAGGGTGACAGAAGAATCAGAAATATTCACACAATGCCAGGGGAGAAATAGGGCCTGACCTCAGGAGACCACTGCTCCTCTCTGATGCAGCCAGTGGTTCTTTTTCAGTAGTTATCACCTCATGCCTAAGACTCAGGTCAGAGATGGTTTTAGGTATACAATGAGCCACGTTTGAGTTCAGGTCTGACAACATAACATGGTCACTCCCCTTTTATTTTCTCCTTCCACCACAGACTTATGGATTTGTGGTCCAGAAGTCATCAAAACTAGGGCTGGTGGTGGGAGGTACAGAAACTGAAAGAGAAACTGACACTTGTTCCCACCCATCTGAGAATAAAAGGTGGCTCAGCAGTGACAAGAGGGCATACTAAGCTGCCACTTAAGTCTTTACTCCAGGCTTTATCCCTGGCTCCCAGGTCACTGTGTGCCCTGGCCCTGTCAGCTCAGGCTGCCAGACAGAATACCGGATACTATGAGCTGAACCCACCCACACTGATTCCTCACAGTTCACGAGATGGCAAGTCCCATGTCAAGAGGCTGGCAGCTTCTCTTTATGATGAGGACTGTCCCTCCGGCTTGAGATGGTGACAACCTCACCTGTGTCCTCACATGGCTGAGAGAGCTTTGGGGTCTCTTCCTCTTCCTGCAAATTCACTAATCCCATCCTGATAGCCCCACTTGGCTGACCTCATCTGACCTTCATTACCACCTATAGCCCCTCTTCAAATGCATCAGGTCAGGGGCCAGTACTTTAACACATGACCTGTAGGGGACAAAAATGTTCTGTCCATAAGAGAGAGCACCAACAAGGAGGACACAAAGGAGACCAGAGTCACCAGTGCAGCATTGGTGTTGATGTTTTGGTGTCCTAGAGGCTGTCAGACCACAACAGGAGAATGTTACACCAGGGGAGAGGTCACAGGGGTATGCAGAGCTGGGTGAACTGGGAATGGAGGGTGAGGAAGTGGATGGAAACTGATCCTGAGCAATTACAGGCCTGTTTCAGTCCCTGGCCTGCCAGCACCCAACCATGACTTTGGAGGAAGGCCTGTGCATAGGTGTGCGGGAATGGGACTACATGAGCAACTACAAGCACATGACATTCTACAACCTGGCTGCAGAGTGAGTCAGGGACCCTGAGCACAGGCCTGAGTTGCAAGAGTGCATGGACTGTACATCTGAGTCCAATGGAGCTTATGACCCACACAATGTCAGCACGGTGTCCACTGGCTTAAGCTCCACCTTGGGACTGCTTCTACATGGATGACAGGGGAGTGGGTTCTAGGTCTGGTGGTTGCAGAAGCTCTGGCCTCATTGTTTAGAGGGTTTCTTTTAGCAATGGGGGCTGTGTAAAGGGCACAGGTGCTGCCAGTTTTGTGTTGAAGCCCTATAAAAAAGAAGGGATGATCTCTTTTCATGAAAGGGACCAGGTTATAACCTGAGATCCCAGAAGGGATAGGAGAAGGGAGAGCGAGAGCATGCTTCAGGGAAGACAGCCTTTCAGACACCCTGAGGACAGGTCTTTCCCATTACTGCTTTTGCTCCACCTAATCTGTTTTTTACTCAAGCAAACAGAGAAATAAGAAAACCAGAAAACAGGCCACAGAGGAACCTAGTCTCCTCTATTTGGCCTTCAATTTCTCCTGGGCCCTTGCCTCCCAGGACATCATTCTAGGACTCACAGTCCCAGGCAGGATGTCTGGATGGATCAAGGATTCCTGGTGATCTCTGCCATCAATCATTTCCTGACCAGCTACTGGTAGCCAGCTCTCATTTGGGCCTCTGTGCAAAGCCAGGGCAGTTATGAAAAGGGTTACCTGCCGGAAGCATCAGCCTAACTTGCTTCCCTGCAGGAGATGAAGTGTGTGTACAGAACTGTAGTCTGGCCCTCGGGTCAATACCTTTGTGTGACTAGAGCAGTCCATCCAGTCCTGTGCCTCTGAACCAGTGTCATTAAAGCCTGGGGCCTGGCCTCCCTCCTGGCTTAGCCTGTGCTTCTCCACATTGCAGGTTCAAGGAGTTTGAGGCTGCTAAAGAGAAAAACGATCTTGTTGCAGATGATGGAGGGACTCACAGGACATTCACTTCCTCTCCCACTGAGGCCAGAACCTGCTAGGCCTCCAGAACTTGAGGTTGTCCAGGAGCCAGGTATGGCTTCCCACATTCCCACAGGGGCCCACGGCACAGGCCAAATAGGGCAGAGGCAAGCTATTGTCACAAATTGATTTGTTTTTCAATTAGAGTGGGACATTTGCTTTTAGAAATAGAACATTCACCTGAGCCTGGGGTTACTCATGTCTTGGTCTTGAATTAGGCCTTGATTAGGCCTATAAGATCCAAAAGCACCATCTTCTCAGGAGTGCCCAGCCCTTGGCTGGGGAGAGTAGCTGATCTTTGGGTGACTCCTCATGTCCTCCCATGTGACAGTGTCCACATTCCACCTCATCTGAGTCTCCACTCATGGTGTTCAGGTTGTGCTGACCCACAGTGGATAACATTAGTTCCCAGAACCCTGCTCTCCCCAATGGGCCTGGGTTGTAGCTGATCCTCCATCCATGCACCACTCTCCTCCTCCTCTATTGTAGTGTGCTTTCCCAAGCAGACAGACTCCACAGTGCAGGCTGCCTGCCCACCAGCACCCAAATGCCAGCCGTCACAGGATTCGGAGTTGCTTGATGACATTCCTCCTGAAGCCGTGGAGGAGTACATCGACATTATGGACTGGCTGGAAGAACATAACCTCTTGGTCATGGAGGAGCCTGAGGAAAACCAGGAGGGGGAGCAGCAGCAGAAAGAGGATGAGATATATCCAGACCCGGGTCTCTTGACTTACTGCAATGAGCTATGCTCCCAAGAAGACTTTGTTAACAAGATGCGCTGGGGCCAGAGGCCTGGTGTTCTTAAGATTCTAGGAACAGCATCCCAAGCCTTTGGAACT